AATGTGCTGTTGCCATCCATTTAGCTATTGGCAATATCTAGACGGGTCTATCAACGTGCTAATGGCTGCTGCTTAGGAAAAAAAAGAAGATACAGGAATGGTGTTTGCCAAGTTTCACAGGAAAGAGCAATCATTATTTGTTGTAATTCTAGCCTGATTTGCACTTCACACCTTTTGTCAATGGTGATATAGTAATTAGTATATTGATACTGCAGTTTTTCAAAGTACTCATCTCAGTAACCTGTGCAACAATCCCGGGGGTTACCCAGCATATTAACACCACATGTCTCTCCCTGGGAGATTAACCTGGCACCTACATTTAGATCCTTTCATTGTCAGGTGAGGACCTTTTCATTCTCCCAAGCCTTTAAAAACTATGCTGTTATTGTTTTTGCCCTTGAACCAGATTGCTTCTGCTTGTTTTTAAATGCTGTTATGGATGCTTGTGCTGATTTTTAAACAGTAAACTGATTTTTTTTAATGTTTTAATTAATGGCTAATGCTGCCTTTGAACCCTGTCCAAACGCTGTGTGAACTGTGCAGAAGTGTTAGTTGGTTGGGTGGTCAACAAATGTTCTAAATACAAAAAAACAACAACAAATATTTCAGGTGGGAGGGGGCATCAGCTGTGGGAAAAGAGACTGAATTCTAGTGGTTTACTGATGAGAAATAAGAGTACTGGGGTTGTGCTGAATATTTTTCTAATTTTGGTGTTCATTTCAAAGCAAACATGTTCAGCAAAGCTAAACCAATCACCCTAAAAATTGATGATGTGGTGTTGTGGTTAAGAGTGGTAGTCTCGTAATCTGGTGAACCGGGTTCATGTCCCCGCTCCTCCACATGCAGCTGCTGGGTGACCTTGGGCTAGTCACACTTCTTTGAAGTCTCTCAGCCCTCACAGAGTGTTGGTTGTGGGGGAGGAAGGGAAAGGAGAATGTTAGCTGCTTTGAGACTCCTTTGGGTAGTGATAAAGCGGGATATCAAATCCCCTGGGTAAATTTGTTTCATTGTCATTAGGCTGACTAGCTGTGGCAACCCAAATACATTTGCTTGTGTATTTGTTTTAAACATTTCTAAGCTTTCTTTTGATTTTTTTTTTAATCGAAGAGGATAGCAAAATGTAATACTGAAAATGGATGCAGCAAAACAATAAACAGAAGATGTTAAAATTTCAATAATAAAACAATTTTTTAAAAAGTACAAATGATGAACAAAGTAGGTTTAAAGCAGTCTTCAAATTAGATGTGCTGTTTTGACATTATTCACATAATCACAGGAGTCAACAGAGTCAGATGAGCTGAAAAGAAATGAGGTGGGGAACAGTGAAGACATAGAAGGGAAATGTTGCCAAAAAGTATCACCAGTCAGAGGGGGAAAGGGGGAGTCTGGATACCATCAGGTCAATACGAATAACCCTAAATGAGAGGTGGTTTTTGACAGTTCATGAAAATAAGCACAAAGCTTATGTAAGTAGTGTTAGGTCAGCCTTGTGTGCTTCCTTTTTCTTTTTAAAAGAGTGATCACCAGTTATTTGGATATCTTTGTCTGTTTTTATGTCTGTAATGGTGTGCAGGAACAGTATCTGAAGACCGGGCTATAAAACTAGAACGTGAAGTTGATTTAATATCCTGAAGCTGTTCACAAAAGTTTTCCACTTGAAATGAAACAAAAAAGTGTTTATCAGGCAGGGTGGGGTAATGTGACCCTCCAGAACTACAATACCCATCAGTCTGAGTGTGCATGGTCAATGGTCAAGGGTGATGGGAGTTGTAGTTCAGTAATGTCTGGTAGGGGCACAGATTAGCTAGCTGTGTTCTTGAATACCTCCTATTTTGTTTGTTGTCTTCCACAAAGGGACTACATGCACCAGTATAACTTAAATTCGTATCATCCTAACAAAGTCAGTGTGAGAACCTTTGCCTGCTTTATCAGCTGATCCCAATTAGTTTGCAACTTTAGGGCTGTATAAATCAATATGAAAATAATAGAATTGTAGAGTTGGAAGGAACTGTGAGGGTCATCTAGTTCAACTCCCTGCAGTGCAGGAATATTTTGTCCAATGTGGGGCTCAAACCCGCAACCCTGAGATTAAGGGTCTTGTGATCTAAAGTGTGTTCCAGGAAACCCTAGAGTGCTTTGAAAGCTGATCATTTCAGCATTCCTCCATGAGAAGCCTGGTAGTGATGATTTAAGCTTCTAGGAAAGTCTGTTTACCTACCACTACCAATCTTCTCTACATTAGAGTGTTGGGTATGGGCTACATCCATGGTAGGACAGGTGCTGCCCTGCAGATGTTGTTGTACTCCAACCCACAGCATTCCATTGGCCATGATAGCTGAAAATTGCCACCCAAATTGCCACCCAAAACCTATGGAGGGCACCTCTTGAACACCACTGCACTAAGTGATACAACAGGAAGGTCTAAAAGACTGTGTGCCGTAAAACATACCCCAGATTAGAATCCACGGCATAACATAATAAGAGCCCTGCTGGACTATATGGAATGCCCATCTGTTCCAACATCTTCTCTTCACGGTGGCCTATGGGAAGACCACAAGCAGGACATGAACACAATAGCGATCTCCCTGCTTGTGAATCCCAGCAGCTGATAGTGCCTCCATCTCTGCTTTTGACATTCCAACAGTATGCAGGGTTTATGTGGAAGATAAGGCAAAGTTTGAAACACATTGCTTTAGACCTTTAAAAATGCTTTCCTAAGCCTCCCCCCCCCCCCTGCTTGCCAGAAAGTGGGAAGATGGGAGGATCCAAGGAGTGAAATCATGTGAACTCAGGGGGTTATATATATATTTTTACCAGTCATTAAAAATGAAAAGAATCCTTTCTCATTAATGTTGCAAATTACAAGCCATAGATAACTCATTTAGATGACAGTTCACAAAATCAATAAAAACCCAGGTTTGTTTTGAAAGCTGTATTGCCTAAATGCCAAAATACATATTTTTTTATTCTTTCTTTTTTTTTTTTTGGCAAATTGCTTGATTTACATTTGAAAAGATCAAGCCTTATTCCCTCTGAAAGCTGAAAGGTAGGGTGTGGGTAGAAACACACAAAGCAATTTAAGCCTCCTTTTTGCAGTTCTGTATTGTGTATAATTTGATTGAAATTGATAGCAGGCAAAACTCTCTCTTGAAAAAAGAAAAGAAACAACATTGCTGCCGGTATAGCAAATCTTTAAGCTTTTTGCTAACTTTGGAGTGCTAACTTAATTCTCCCTGAGGAGTACTATCCCCCGCCAGAGGGAACATTTTCATTTCTGATGAGGATTTGTAGAAGGCAAGTGGTAATAGGCTTGTGCTATAGAAATCCTATCTAATTCAGCCGACATAGTCTTCTTTTTCCTGGGAATCTTGTCCCTCCCCTGCCTGCCCCCTTCCCCCTGCTAGAAATCTACAATGTGAAAATTATTTTTTTCTCGTTAAACCCCATAAATCATAAAGATTAAGTAATAATCTGATAATATCTGTGAACTGTGGGTTTTGTTTTTTTGAAAAAAAGAAAGTGAAATCTAGGAAGATATACTATGAGGTCAACCATCAAGAGTCATACCATAGCTCCTTCTGGCCAGTGTTTTTGACACTGACTGGCAGCAGCTCTCTGGTTTTCAGGCAGGAGGTTTACCTGGAGATGCTGGTGACTGAATCTGGAGTCTTTTGCATGCAAAGCTTGTGCCATTCAGCGACAGCCCTTCCCCACTCATACCATGCAAACATGGGACTTTGCAGTGGTTGAAGCATACAGTGATGGGGAATCAGGCATCCTTTAAAAGTGGTGTTGGCAAGAGTAACACAGTTGCTGTGAAAAACTTGTCATTAGGCCAAAGGGTTACCTTTGCTATGTGTCAAAAGCTGGCCTGGGTAAACTGCCTTCTGTTAGTGCATACAAGCACCTGGAATATTGGTGAAACAGCTAATAGTCAGCAGCATTCCTCCTATAACCCATACTCTAAACCTGGGGGTGGCAAACCGGTTTTTCATACCCTCTAACATTCCTCAGATGAAAATAGGGACATTTCTCACCTCCCTGCAACTGACTTTCTTTGACACCCTATTTTTTGCCCCTCCCCAACCCCTGCAGAGCATTTCCTATCAGAAGAAGGGCAAGTGCCACCACCACTATTCCAATGGGACACAGCACACACACCCTCCACCGTTCTGAGAAAACCCCTTTTTTGTGTACACAGGCTGTACAGTTGTTGAATGTCACACAAGAGAATCTGTACTAGTGTACAGCTCAACCATTCACATGCACAGATACAAAAAGTGTACACTCCTTGAAGGTAGCATATGAATGCTCCTTAAATGGTCATCAGATTCCAGCTCTAAGCTTGAGGTTTCCTCTCCAGGCAATATTTTTGAGGAATTTCATGGAAACCCTGAAGTGTTTCAGTAAGGTTTTAGAAGTCTGTCAGCAAATTTGCTTTCTGAGTAAATTCAGAAGTTCATGTCGGACATGAGTAGGTCTTTTGTGCTCTTAATCTGCTCGTGTAGATGCCCCTTGCCCGTGTGGTGCTGTGCATACCTACAGTTCCTTCATTCAAACTCACTGCCTGCTTGAAAAATGAAGACATGAGACTCCCGCCAGAGGGAAATAGATTGTTTTTGATTGCTATTCATCTATTATTTTAGAAAGTAAAATGAATAGAACTTATGCAGGTCACAGACATTAAAGGGCCTATTTTATATCAGTTTGGGAGCACTTGTCAGCTTTGATTTATTAAGTCAGGTTCCTGGTCTGGCCACCAGTTTCTGTGTTAGCAGTCTTTTTGATAATGGATAGGCCTCACAGCTGAGTGCTCTGTGATTAGACTCCTCAACTATATGTTCTTAAATAAAGGCATCACTTTTGGAGAGGTGGGGGACACTGCTCATTTTCCTCTCTCAAACTGTTTCATTTGTCATCTCCTGCCGAGGTTTTCCCCACTTCTCTCAAGTTTGTTTTCGCTGGCAGTGTCAGGGAAGGTAAATGGAAGGCATCTTTAAGGGTTTTCGTTCAGAGCCTGCTACCAACCTACCTTGATTGATTAAATGTCACAAGGGACAAAAATAGATGAGAAGGAGTGATCTAAACAGCATTTCTGAGAGACCTGGTTTGCTGTGCTGCATCTTAGAGTACTACTCCCTTGCTCCTGTTGTGTCAGCATTTTTATCACCAGACTTCATTTCTTAGCTGGGTATATGTGCAGAGAACATGTTTGCACAGTCCACCAAAGAGAAGGAAGGTGGATCATGGTTTGGACTATCGCCTAAATGCATGGCTAGAGATGGGGGGGAAAGCTATCCAGGTTGCATTTAGAAGTGAAACCAAACCAATTCACATTTTCTGAAACGATACACAAAGTCAAATGCAGACATCCCTCGAAATTTGTTCTTCTCCAGCTGAATAATGTATGTACAACAATGCACATACTAGGGTAAAGTGTGCATATATTAATGCAAACAACACACAAAAATGTAGTAGGGAAAACCGGTTTGCAAAAAGGTGTAGATCTGGCAAAAATTGCATTCAAAAATGTGTAGATAGTGAGACAGCTGTACTAAATTGATGATGAATTTTTATAAACACTTTTTTTTAAAAAAAAAGAACAATGCAAGCTGATGTAGAAATGTTGAGAACTGAACTTAAGACTGCAAAAATGAGAAACCGGGGGAAACAAAATTGACCATCGCTATTAATAACCTTTGCAAATGCTTATATTGATCTGCCTTACAATTGTAGCATAATGGCTAGGAGACAGAACGGTGAACCAGAAAATCCCCGCTCTGACCTTGTCTTTGTCACGGACTCTTAACCTTTACTAGGTTAGGCTATTTGTCTTTCTAGCCCAGCATTGTCTGCTCTGACTGGAAGTGGCTCTCCTGGATCTAAAATGAAGGTCTTTCACATTACCTGCCATATGGAACTTTTAGACATGAGATTGTTAGAAGTGAACTTTGGACCTCTGCAAGCAAAGCATGTGCTCTACTGCTGAGCTATTTCCATTTCCCCACAGGTAGCCTTAAGAAAGTTGCTGGGCTGTATTCAACAAACCTTTCTGTCAGTTCAAAAACTTCTGGCTGTGCAATGGAACTTCCCCTCCCTCTGACCCCCCCCCCAATGCATGCCTTAAACCTGTTCTGAAGGTTCCCCACACTCTCCCAGAGCAGATTTGGAGAGGGAGTGGTGTGTGCCATGGGGAGATGGGGGGGGGGGGAGTTCAGTTGCACAAGCAGAAATCCTTTCACTAATGGAACGAGAGCACTGGCTACTGCCCACTGCCTTTCAGCCTCATCTTGTAGTATGGGAAAAACAATACAAGCAGACTTTATAGGGTTCTTGTAAGGGAGATGCAACATGTTTTGCAAAGTGACTTCCAATACTGAATCACTTTGTATAGTAGTAGTTGTAACAACAATATTGCCATTTGTCTAGCACTTTGTAACTAATTACCGTATTTTTCCTTGTATAAGACGAGGCTTTATTATTATAAAGAAATGTTTAAAATGTGAGGTTGTCATATACACAGAGAGTGCAGAGGGGGTTCAGGCAATTGTTGGCAGCCGTGAGCAGGAGATTTCCAGTGGTGATTGGGCAAGTGATTGGTGTCTGCAGCAAGGGCTGCTGGAGATTGGCTGCTTCTGTGGCAATTTGGTGGTCGATTTGCGGCTGCTGGCGGCGAGTGGGCATACGTTTGCTGGCTTCGGCAAGGCATGCAATTGGCATTGGCGGTCAGGCGGGTGAGCAATTCTCGGCAATCCTCCCTCCCCAAAGCTCTGCAATTTCTGGGCAATCTCCCCCCATTTCCTTGATTTGGAGTCCCAAAAAATAGGGGTCGTCTTATACACGGTGTGTGTGTGTGTGTGTGTGTGTGTTATACACAGAAAAATACAGTATGCACTCCTTGGTATCTAATGCACATGAACATTCAGGTATTTAGTCCCCATTTGTATGTAGGTAAGTATTTAATCGCAGCATTATTACAAAATTTGGAGAAGTGTGACAAATGAAGGATTATTGCGTTCTGATCTGCATGTTAGTCTGAAAGGCAGTCACATTATACCAGAATTCACAGAAATAAAATTCCTCAAGTATTCCTATCAAATAGAAGGCAGGCTCAGGGATGTTCCGATGCTACACAAGTTATTAGCCCTCCAAAAATTTTAATACATGGGCTGTGGTGCTAAGTGTTGTTTACCCTTAACTTTCATCAACAGGGCTGAGGAACTTGTGATGCTCCAAGCATTGTTGGACTCCAACTCCCATCAGTTATTCAGCATGGCCAAAGGTCAGGGATAATGGGAGTTGTAGTCCAACAACATATGGTTTTCCATCCCCTTTCAGCAGCCTTGTTTTGCCATGAAATCTCATACTTCTCAAGGCCATATTCCCGCTGAGCATGAGATGAGGGTAGCAAATAAATAATTACAACAAAACACTGTCCCTCCTTACCCTTCTTTTTCATAGGACAGATCTGCATCACTGCAGTTCCAGATGTGTCTTAATCGGGAACTATTGCAATGCCGAGAGGGTATTAAGAGAAATCCGGTTCCTTGCTGAAAGAAGATTATCAGGGGTTTATCTGCAGCTGATAATGACACTTTGTCCTTCTCTAGCACCCTTTGGTTTGATAAGGCATAAACACATTCAATTAAATATTGTAGGGCTTTCTATAGCAGCTTGTAATTAGTGTTCCTAAAGCAGGTAGATGCACGATAGTTATTCATGTGAATAATGGGGAGCTGGATAGAACCGGATTGGTGGACTTCATATTGGCTTCATATTATTTAAGGGGACAATGAGGCATGGAGTTGATCGCTGAGTATTGCCAATATAGGAGTTTAACAAATGCTTAATGTGTATTTATGTATCTGAAACATGTAAACATATTTTAGAATGGTCAGGTGGAACCTAGATCTTGGAGAATGGAGGGTATTAGATGAATAGAATACAGTGGTACCTCAGGTTAAGTACTTAATTCTTTCTGGAGGTCCGTTCTTAACCTGAAACTGTTCTTAACCTGAGGCACCACTTCAGCTAATGGGGCCTCCTGCTGCAAGCGCACTGCTGGACCATGATTTCTGTTCTCATCCTGAAGCAAAGTTCTTAACCTGAAGCAGTATTTCTGGGTTAGCGGAGTCTGTAACCTGAAGCGTATGTAACCCGAGGTACCACTGTAATAGAATCATACAATTGTGGTGGTGAATAATTTGAGTGCTTCCTTTGTTAGCATCATAGGCCACTGTGACTGTAGAATACCAGTGTGAGAAGGATACGTGAGCTTCCAGCATCCATAACTTACCGATATAAAACAGGAAGCCAATCCCATAGGAGAGACTTTGCAGAGAAGTAACTCTTCCATAAAGTCATCATGTGAATGTTCTCTTCAACTTGTCCATGAATAATTTCTATAAGTGCTTTTCAGGGTCTTCCAACATGCAAATCCTACATAACAGTGACTTGCTTCGTTATGGCAGAATACAGGATTTGAATGTATCCTGATTGGCAATAGTCCTTATGGTTCAGTGGGGAAGGGACATAGCTCAGTGGGAAAAGCACACTATTTGCATGCAGAAGGTCTCATGTTCAGTCCTTGGCATCTCCAGGCGTGGTTGGGAAAGAAACTGAAACCCTTGAGAGTGGCTGCCAATTAGCAGTGTAGATATTGCCCAGCTAGATGATCCAGTGGTCTGCTACATGATAAGGTAGCTACCTATGCTCCTGAAAACATGATAGGGCTGTACCCAACATTCTCTGTCTCCTAGAACCACAGCTCTTGCACTAGCAAAGGGGTGAGCTTTAACCCTGCACAACAGAGGAATTCAGTGCAATAATTGTGCAACAACTATCAGCAATCTGCTTATGCATTCTCTTGTGCAACATTGTTCCAGTGGTGCAAAACATTTCACCAGTGGAACAAATACGCAGCTAAATTACGTTAACTTAATGCTATATTGGATACAACCAATAGTCTTGGATAAGCAGGATAGGTTCTTAATAAGACTGACTGGTGCCCTTTGTTTACATTTTAAGCTGCATTTTAAACTGTAGTCTAACTTATATTTTAATCAACTGTTTGTCTTGGGGTGGTTGTTTTTGTTTTGTTTTGTTTTTAATGTTTTTACTGTATTTATTTTCAGTGTTAGCCACCCTGAGCCCAGTCTTGGCCAGGGAGGGTGGGGTATAAATAAAGAATTGTTGAGTTGGAAGGGACCCTGAAGGCCATCTAGCCCAACACCCTGCAATGCATGAATCTTAACACACTGTCCCCTATCCAATTTGAAACCATACTGGACCCTGCTTAGCTTTGCAGATGTGCTAGCAATTTTATTGCTGCACAAGTAGAATCATTGAAATCAAAGAATCTAACTTAGTGATATCCATTTACTATAATGAGTGTATTCTGAGTAGGTCTAGCAACCCTATGTGCTTTCATTTTCATTTTAGAAATGTCTAAAAGGGATGATAGTGTCTGTAACATATGTTGAAGAATGCAAAAGCATATGTAAGTGATGATGATGATGATTACTGCTCTGTTTTCTCAGTGCCTAGCTTTTACCATAACAGATTTCTCAGTATGGTTTTCCCTAATGAGTAATTATACTTTAGGGCTGTGTATTCTTCCTACCTTCATTCCTTCCTTGCTCTTTTTTACTCTCTCTTCTGTAATGGAAAAAAAAGGGTAACTAAGAAAAAAACCTCCCTAAAAACCAGGAAGCTAGAAAATCCTCTTTGAAGTAATAGTGTATGGAGAGGATTTATCCTTGTCCACTTAAATATTCATGACAGCTTGCATTTCTGTTCAAAAAGACACTTGTTTATTTAGATAAGATTTAATTTATTCATAATTTACCTAAATTTGCAGGAGCGTGCATGTACATTTTAGCTTATAAGCAGCATAATACATAAAACATTATTGAGGCATGCAAATTACACAAAAACACCATTTGAAACTGCCGGCTTGTTTTAGGCAGATAACTAATTTCTTAGCTCAAGTAGAGAGAGAAACACAATTGCAGGGGACTGTTGCCTGGGATGCACCAATTCAGAATTATGCTTCTTTTAATGGAAGAGGCACGGCTTTTTAATAGGGTCGCTCTGGAACCTAGATTCATGTAGCTTGAGCAATATTTATTCTCTAGTCCTTTTGTTAGCTGGAGGCACAGCCAGGACTTCTAGCCTTTTCTGAAGGGCTTGAGTTTGCGTCAGTAAAGCTGGTGCATCAGGGCTGGGTTTTCTAAGGACAAGGTACCCACAATGAACAACAATTTCCCCATAGGCAAGGCTGCAATTGAAGAGGACTCAGAAACTTCAGCTAGTCCAAAATGCAGAAGCCAGATTACTGGCTAGGGTTCCATTTAGATATCTTATATACCCTATGCACTGCTGCACTGGTTGCTAGTTTGTTTCTGGATCCAACTTAACGTTTAGTGTTTACAGCCCCAAATGACTTGGGTCCAAAATACCTGAAAGACTGCCTCCTTCCCTATAGACCCATTTGGGTGCTTAGATCAGCCTTGGTAGTTCCACATAGTGGTTTAGCATGTGGGGAGTGTCAGAGGGACATTGACCCTGGATGCAAAATTCTAAGAGGGGTGCAACCAGGTGCCCCCACAACAGGCTCCCTCAGTGTGGCTGAGCTCCTGCCACCTTCCAGAGCCACAGAGAGGCAAGTCGCACCTGGGAGTGGCCTTTGGGCCTGGGGCAGCAACTCCTTCTCTGCTTGGCTGGCAAACGGATGCCCGTGTGTACCCCATCCCTGGGCTGGGCTAGCCAGTGAGGTTCGGCCAGGTCATTCTTCCCTTTGTGTGGGCTCTGAGCTTCCCCTGTGGCTCCACCATAGCTGCCCAGTCCACCAGGGGGCGCAACGCTTGCCCCTCCCCAGGTGTTGGCAACCCACGCTGTACCACTTGCTCCACCATCCTCAGAAATCTGTGTTGCTTTTCAAAGAAGTTGGTTCACACAGACAGCTGTGAGTTATCCAATGTAGGGAAATCAAGTGCTTTTGTGAACCAGTCTAAAAATTCTTCTTCGGCATAAGTACCAGATTCACAATGGAAAGTTTGCAAACTCCCCCCCCCCTTCGCTAAACCATCAGAGATTCAACACTGCACTGCTCTTTACATTTCAGTTATTAATTATCACTGTTGCGATTTCCATCTGTTTGCTTACGTATGGACAAATTGACATCTACTGTCACTTGTTGTTACAAATCTAATTCCAAACCTGCATGATTGTAATAGGAAATTAACTTCTCTGCAGAGAGGTTCCATTTTGTTTGACAAATTGTGCGTGGAGAGGAAAATGATACATCTATATGTTTATTAATTGAGAAATTTATAAATGTGCATTTGATGATTTTCAGAGTATTGGAGTTTTTCTAATGATGGTCTTAAATTATACAAGTCCTTAAGGGATTTGGCTAGAATATAGAGATGCAGTTGTGTGGTATCCAAAGTGGTAAGTGTACATAGGCAAAGATACCTTATGGTATATGGCCATGATGAAATTTATTCCAATAGAGATGTTGGGGAAACATAGACTATTGATTAGAAGTGGGTTTTGGGTTTTTCTATATACAAAAATGCAGCCTCTTCTGTGAATAGCTTAGGGAGAAAATATTGAACTTACTCATTCGGCTCTCGGGGTTCATCCCATTTATTTTCGATTTGTCAAATGTGTCATTGTTGCTGTGATTGTGTTTGGTGATTTATTAGGAATTTTCTAAATGGGGCACTCTGTCATTGGAGTTAGTTTAGCATTGTGTCTTTGCAGTATGATTGGTTTTTTCTCCTTTTTTACAAGCTCATGATAGGAACCAAAGATTTTATTTATTTATTTTTGAAAAAAAGAAAAGAAAGAATGGCCCAGACTGGGTGAGCAGGGAGTAGGGAATGAAAAAATCAATGTGCTTTAAATGCGATGACAGGATGAGCTGTTTAAATTGCCTTTGTGAATTGATTTAAAACATGTTGGTAGAAATGTCTATTTCATTAACCATCTTTTCCTTCATTTCAGCAGCTGGAGTCACTGTCCCCTCCTGTCTCTCCCAGACATAATAAAAATACCCATGTAGACATCTTATTACAAGCCAGCGAGAAAAATGCAGCAGTTACATGACTTTTTTTGGGGGGGGGGGAGAAAGTGGACAGGAAGACATGGGGGGAAGAAGGACCACCATCACTCAGTAGCTTGACTACAACTCCCATCATCTATCACTATTAGCCATGCTGACTGATGGGAGTTGGCTGGACCCTGCCCTTTTTGTGCCTCCCACGAAATATCCCCCTTTCATTTATCAAACAACGCATGTGCCTATTTATTCTGTCATTGCATTTGAGTTTGTCTTTACTAGGACAGATTCAAAGTGAGGACTCTGGGGTGACTCATACCAAGAGGGAATACCCCTTTCTCTTGGGTCTGGTGGGACTTTCCAAGATGCATTTCCACCTAATAGAAGTAGCACCTCCAATGTGTGTGCTCACCCAAGCAAACTGCACAAACATGGTTCCCCGAGGCAAGTGTATACTGGGTTGGGGAGGGGAGTATGCCCCTTGTTGTTCCTGGTTTGTGGCAATGTCTTAATGTTTGGGTTTTTTTGAAAAATGGAAGGGTATTTGTTGTGTGACACATTTCTTGATTGTTCTGAAAACCTATGAGCAGAGAATCACAGTGGCTTTTATAAGTGCTCTTGAGTGATCCTGTTATCCTAAGATAACAGCAGCAGGAGGAGAGAGAGAAAAAACACCCACTAGCATCCAAAGAGCATTCAGTTGATTTAGGAGATAGGAGAGTGGCTTTATATTTCAAAATTCCTGACTGAGTTCAGTTTTAATGTAAGGCCCTTAATACTAGTTGTACTTTCACAGAAACATCTTGACATCTGATCGGACCAAGACACAAAAGCAGAGAGAGAAAACGTTATAACCCACAGTAATAAATAACTGCATGGAAAGAAGAAAAGCCACTTCTCTCTAGAGCAGGAGTGGGAAAATCTGTGGCCTCCAAATGTTGTTGGATTCCAGCTCCCATCATCCCCTGCCAGCACGGAGGACCACAGGCTCACTACCCCTGTGCTTTGGAAATAAGAAGTTGTCATGACGGGGGTCAGACTAGTGGCTCATCCATTAGGTTAGCATTTTCTGCAGTGAGTCACAGCAGCTCTCCAGGGTTTAAATCAAAACTCTTTGCAAGTCCTACCTGTAAATGCCAGGGAATTGGACGTGGGACCTTTCACATTCACACTTCAAGCATGTGTGGTAACAATGAGCAGCCACCTTTCCTTCCTTGATAATCTGAAAGTTGTTGTTTGCTTGCTTGTGTAGCCTATCCTCCTTCCTGGAAGGGGGGGCAAGATAGCTAACAATCAATATTAAAATGCAAATCAGCATGAAATAATAATTAAAACCAGTATCAATACAATACATTGCAGCAGAGTGTGTTACTTGGACTGTTAACTTCCACTCCAGCTGTAAAGCAAAGCCCCGAGCAAGCAAATATGTTTTAAGGTGTTGCCTAAATGACAACAATGTGAGGGGCGACTAGATCACCACTGGGAGACAGTTAATCTTTTCAGTATGTTAGATGCAAATATATTTATTATTAAGATCTGTAATGTTTGGATTCCCCCCTTTTTTGTCTTGGTGTGAGTTAGTGTCAAGTTGTCTCTAGACCTACTTCGGCATTACATGTATTTATTACATTCATAACCCACCTTTCTTTCTCAAGGTGGCATATATTGTTCTCTTCCTCTCCATTTTATCTTTGCAACCACCCTGTGAAGTAGGTTAGGTTAAGAGACAGTGACTGGCCACTCAAGGTCATCCAGTGAACTTCAAGGTTAAGTGGGGATTGGAACCCTGGTCTCCCAGGTCGTAGTCTAACACTCTAACCAGTGCACCACACTGGCTCTCATGTAGGGCATTGCCATGTTAACGAAGGAGTCCTGCCAGTCCTGCCACTGACATCATTATTCGTTTTAGCAGCAACCACATGTTGTATCTGGTTTTCTATAGTAAAAATCCAATTTGTAAGCACGTGCCTATGAGTAGAGGCTTGATGCAATCAGGGCATGCAGTTGTGCAGGCATCCCAATATCTTGTTTTCCATCATGGAACCCAAGGCAACATAATATTGTTCACCGGCAGTCTCCCATCTAGGCATTGACCCGGCTCTGAACTGCTTGAAATCCATATGGTGGTGGCTTTATGTGCTTTTAGATCATACCCTACACCCTACACTTTTTTTAAAAAATCAGCATGTGTAGTCTGGGTGCATAAGGATGATAGAGCAGATATTATCTGTGCATAGAGCACACAAGCTGAGACTAAGCAAATTTGATTTTACATGCATAGGCCCTATTCAGACCGGATGCCCTTGCATGGACATCTATCAATTTCAGCGGGACAGTGGGAGGTACATTCTTCGCTCCCCACTAGGTGGATGAGCAAATGATTCATAAATGAAAACCCATACTCAGTTCAGATTAACTTCCATGTGGCGAGAGGCAATATGAGCTGGAGGAGTGAAATTGTACGTATCATCTTCCCCACTGGACATGCTTGCCTGACTCCATCTACAAAAGCTGAGGCTGCTGAACAGACTCTTGAGCTGAGATATCTATTGTTTATGACTACTTTTGTTATGTTTGGAATTACAACAGTACCTTGGAAGTCAAACAGAATCCGTTCCGGAAGTCTGCTCGATTTCCAAAATGTTCAGAAACCAAGGCGTGGCTTCCGATTGGCTACAGGAGCTTCCTGCAGCCAATCGGAAGCCGTGGAAGCCATGTTGGATGTTCAGGTTCCAAAGAATGTTTGCAAACTGGAACACTCACTTCCGGGTTTGTGGCGTTCAGGAGCCAAAATGTTGGACTCGCAAGGCGTTTGGGATCCAAGGTACAACTGTATGCACTTCTTCATGTTGTAAGCACCTTGAGCATGGGTTTAACTATGAAAAGGGGGCATACAAATAAAATTGTGTGTGTTTGCCTGTTTACCATATGTGGACGCAAAAAGAAAAATCCACATGCAGATGTAAAAATAAAATAACATATATACCCAGTGTTTGTAGGCCTGAATTGTTCAGTCATTAAATAAAATCCAGAAGTGCCAGTGTCATTTAGACCTACACATGCTTGACTTGGTTACTGCACTTCACCTGCCAGTATTGCTACTGGAGCCATGTAAATAATGTAGCAACTATATTTACCATGTAAATTACCTTATTAACCTTGCTGCTTATACAGTGTTTTGCTAAGCAAAGCTGTTAAACTCCCCATTAGTATCTCTATTTTTAAAAATAACTTTATACTTGGTTGGGTTTCCTCGATGATGGATATGTAAGCTTGAACTGCCATTGGGAGGAGGGAATCTTTTCGTCAAATTCATGCTGTTGTTGTCAATGCAACTAGCAAGAGCATACATTATCCAGTGGTCAGCTCCCAGTTTTGCAAAGTGCTTGAGCCCTTTTTGGGTTCCCCTCCCTGAGAGGCTCCTCCCACCTCATTGATGTCCTCCCCCTCCCCCTTCATTTCCCTTAGCCTTCTGATCCCAATCCTCAAAAGTGCCCAGAGAGTGAGTGCAAAAGATGTGAAGGGTGCTGCTGCTGCTTCTCCTCCTCACTCTATGTCATCACTTGCATCCTCAAAACAAAGAAGGAAGATAGGAAGAAATAGCCAGGTCCCTCTGGGAGTTGTCAGTGAGCTCTTTACATGGGTGTAGTAGGCCTTGGCAGGAGCCCTGAAATGCCTACCTCTGATGTTGCCCCAGACCATGTCTACTCTGCCCTCTGTGTTATTGAGACATTGTTGGATCTTATGTTCCTTACTCTCTGTAGACTAATGCCCAGTGTAGCAATCATACTCAACCATGGTTAACCATGGTTGTTGGTTGTTGTCCCCCCCCTTAACCCTGGTGAAATGGGTTGAGTTCAGAAATAATGCAAATCATAGCTTCGCACTGCATGTATGAGGCTCCTCTCCTTCCTTTTCTTTTCTTCTCCTTCCCTTGTGCAGGCTCAAGTGTGCAGACTGGAAGCATCCTTCTCCATCTTCTCCATCTTCAGTTTTTTCATTTTGGGAACTGCAATCACTTTTAATTATGGTTCATCTGGGTTTGTAAACAGTGGTTTGGATTTGGTTTGTTCAGATAAAGCAGAGTTAAGAAACGTAATGGCAGTTTTCCTGGTCTAGGCAAAAGAACAAACAGTAGCAAGGTGAAAATAGAAGTGGACTCTTCAGATCTCCTCCCAAAGAGAGTGGGAAAGGGGAGGGGGGGAGTGCATGAGCCTGAGGCTGGTTTGTATGCATAGCACTTAACTATGGTTCAGTGCTGTGTACAAATAAAGCCAATGATTTAGCTTGCTGAACTAAACCCGTCTGGGTGGAGGGTGTTTAAGGGAGACATTCATGAATTACTTGTCCCAGTGTAAGTAAACAACAGTTTGCTCAGTGCAGACATGGGTTGTATCCAATGCTACTCCCACTCATAGAAGACTACTAACAGGTTCATTAATTTCAATGGACATTCTCTGAGAAGAATGTAGTTGGATACACTCCATAGCAATCTCTCTTCACAAACCTGCTTTAAAGCACAGTTTGATATCCTGGTTTGTGGCCAGTACTACACCATGGTTTAAATATTTGTTTAAATATCTGCACATTGTTTAAATAGTTAGACATAGTGCTCAATGTAATGCACAAAACACAGTTAAGCATTATGGCCACATAGGACCTAAAATTGTTGCTTCCCGCATCTTCATTGCACCATGCATCTGTCTTGCTATCCAGTTTTCATGTCCCATCCCTTAGAAACGTTGATGTTATCTGTTATAGTGCGCAAGAGATAATGGATTTTCTCAACATCTGTTTTCATTTAAAATGCCTGAGCTGCCACCCCCTTTGCACACAGATCTCGCTCCCTACTTATGATGCCAGAGGATGGGAAGTGGCAGGCTAGAGCCAAAACCAAACCCTTACTAATGAACATTTGCAGCTGCTGGTGGGACTTGGCAATTGTCTGCCAGCTCTGGTGACAGAATTCATCTTGTAAAACGTACCTGTGATAAATATCAACTTGCAGTGATTAAGCAAGAGGTTGTTAATTCATGAATGGGCTTTGCACGTGAGCCAGAGGGTAATTTGATTTCCAGCGGCTACAGACTACATTATTTTCTTCCCACCCCACCGAGGAAGCCGGATGCCAATGCTCGTAAAGCAGCAACTGTTGCAAATACTCTCTTCTTTTTTATGAGCCTCAGCTGGCTCAGGCACAGGGAAGGAAAAGTCTTGGCAAAAGACTTGAGTACAGCAGCCCAAGCAATGAAGGGCACAGTGAAGGCTGATGTGTCCCTCTTGGACACTTAGGGGGGAAATGAGGAAATCCGATGGTCTGGCAAGATGGCAGTTATTTTGTGTCACGTTAATAAGTAAGTAGGAAAAGGGTTACTGTGCCACAAAGCAAAAAGAATGTGAAAGGAGAGATCTGTATTATGATAAAGCTTTCTTTTGTGACCTTGATAAGCAGCTTGTTGCTATGCAATGCCAGACATCTATTTTCTTTTTATAAAAGATATACAGTTGTACCTTGGCAGCCAAACACCTTGGTTCCCTAACAAATCGGCTCCCAAATGATTGAAACCTGGAAGTGAGTGTTCTGGTTTTGAACAATTTTTGGAAGCCGAACGTTCAGTGTGGCTTCCACGGTTTCTGATTTGCTGCAGGATGCTCCTGCAGCCAATCGGGAGCCGCGCTTCCCCCCACCCCCAATGGTTCCGGGAGTCGAATGGACTGTACCTGTATGGAACCTGTATGAGAGGTGATTCTTTCCATTTCAGTTTCTCCCAGATTTTTCCAATCTTAAGTTCAGTTCTTCACATTTCTGTACCAGTTTGCTTTTTAAAAAGAAGTGCTTGTGAAAATTTGTCCCATTTCTCCCTATACACACATATTTTGTTTGAAATTTTGCCTGATATGTGAGAGCACCATACAAGGAGAGGAAATGTCCATGTGGCTCTGGGAAGCAGGAAACAATGGAACATGCCTTTTTCCATTGGCAGAATTATATAGACATACGGGCCAGGTTTATCCTGCCTGTCCTACATAAATTCCCAGGATGTACAGAACAACTCAACATTTCCCTACTACTCCAGGATGAAAACCCAGATGCCACATACCGTAATCAGTTGCTAGATTTTCCGCTGCCATGATGGATATTCGCCGAAGGATGGTTTGTGTTACAAACCAGTCCTAAATTGAAGGCCCATATTGCAAGACCTGTATTCCCTTAAGTTCTACCTCTTATAGTTGTTTTAACTGCATGCCTTTTAGTTCTTATCTGTTTTAATTATCAGTTTTTACACACCCATTATCTGTGTTTAATCTCGTATTCTATTCACATGCTTTATCCTCTGCTTGTTACTTTGTTCTTATTTGCTCTAACAATTATCTGTTTAAATCCTAACTGCTATTTTATTCATATGTTTTTCTTATGCTGGTCTGTGACTGTAATAAATTTCATTCATTCATTCATAGATAGGAGAGCAATTTTCTGTAGCCTAATGCATTTTGTATTTTGTTTTCACTAACATGTGCATTTTCATGCACACTTTCTTCTAATATCTACACATTTTTGTGCACAAAATTTTGGTTGCAGAACTGCATCAGAGAATGTGGAAATGCAAGGTTTAACCAAGGATAGCTGTGTGTTTTGGTTCATGTGTTCTTTTATGAAGTGCAAATTATGTGGTTTTGCATTAAGATGGAAACCAAACCAAATTTATTTAACTCTCGTGATATGTGTGAAATGGGGACGGAGGGAGATCAGTAGCCTTGCTAAAACCTTTCTTTTGACACCTCTCCATTCTTTTACTTGAGAAGAAACCACCATAATTGTCTCAAATATCACTTTAGATCTTGTCCCGGATCTTATAAACTTCACCTCACTCTGTCTAATGATAGGGTGGGCCCTGTTTGCTTGGGGATGGGCCATGGGGGAACAGCACATCACTTTGAAGTTTAATTCAAGTGTTCTGTATCTCAGGATACTGACTGTGTGTATGTAGATCAAAGGAAATGGATGATGAGTGCTCGGAATGGGCATCTGTTGTCTTCAACCAAGAAGCATTATGTGAATTTTCAGGGGTAGATCCAGCAAATAAAAAATGAGGTGGGGGGGGGAGGCTTTCTTCTCTATAGACATTCATCAACTCTATTGTTTTTAGACATGTAATGAAAACTCATTTCTTCTTCCAAGCTTTTTATGGTCCTTGAGCTTGCTGTATTTTCACTCTGAATTGCAGCCAGTAGTTTTAGGTTGTTGGTTTTTTAAAAAAAGTTAATTAGGGAAGCATTTTCTAAGGTAAGGACTCGCTCTCCATTCCAATGAATTTGGATTTTGACTTACATAATGTTGTTGGTAGTGCAGCAAAAAAAGAGTTTAAGGCTGAGGCAAACATTAAAGCTGTCTGAAGTTTGGGTCAAATTTTGAAAAATGAGGGGATGAAACCAAGTGAAACTGCCCCCTCTTTTGCATTTTCAGGAGATCTAAAATAACCCCCAATAGCAGTTGCCTTGTGTGTTGTTGTTTTTTAATCACAAAGCCATTTGATGGGTGGCAGCCTCTAGTAAATCAGAGCAATGAGAGAGTTCAGGTGAGTTCTTCCTGTAAAATTCCAAAATCTGCCACCACCATGCAATTTCAGAGCCTGCAAATGAGGCTCCAAGGTTGTTGTTTTTTGGTGTGAGAGGTACATTTTGGATCCAGGTGTACCTTACTCTTGGATGTCTGACTTCCACACTATTTGTGTATGTATTTAAAAGATTTTAGGCCACCTTTAAAAGTCAACCCCTTTGAGAGTTGCTTCCGATGTACAAAAAGCACAAGCTATACAATCAAAACCAAATGTGACCATAAGTCTCCACATAACAGTGATGGGATTAACAATAACATTCCAATAAATCAGCAGTATCACTAGCAGCAGCAACCTTCAGCCCAGCATCATCAGCACTTAACAGTCCAAACAATGTTGTGCCAAACAGTAGAAAGATAAATCCTTCGAAGAGAAAACAGTTGCAAAACAAGTATGCCTTTCAAGGCCCTTAAAATGCTTTAAACAATTGGGAAGGGCTGTAGTTTAATGTTAGAGCACATGCTTTTCATGCAGGAGGTCCCAGTTTCGATCCTTGGCATGTCCAGGTAGGGAATATTTCTTGTCTGAAAATCTAAAAGGCTTCTGCCAGCGAGTGCAGACAATATTGAGCTATATTGTCCCAGTATCTCTCTCGGCTTCTTGGTTACACTAGATTGTGGCACAATGTTGCAAACTGGTTTTTATGGTTCCATAAAATAGCCACCTCTTATTGAAATCTGTTGTGTTCTCATTTACCCAGTTAACAGGTTGTCCTTGGCAGCAGGAGACTTATTGCAATGTTCAAAACCTTGCTCTGAATCTAGCCTGGCAACAGACACATTCTCATGATTAGCTCTCCCCCACCTTGCCTGCCACCCACCCACCCTGCTCCCATTTAAAGTGTAACGCCAAAGCTTGGCCCTGTAGTGGGCAGAAATGTCTCTTTCTGTTTTCCATCTCCAAAAGTTGTGTCTCAATGCAGTGAAGAGAGAGGAGGCAGATTTGATGCTTACCGAGTGGGTTTTGACAGCTTTGCACCCAGGGGAAACCTGTGCTTCCATTTCCAGCCCTGTCCCCTCTGGGCACAGAGAGATGAGCAGAGGAGTTCACAAGGATCAGCGTGCAAAAGGAAAACAATTTGATGATGGGGCCCTGGAGTTAGAAGCATAGAGAGCTAGTCTGGTGGGGCTTTTCAGATTAAATCAGCATCAAAGTTTGGTACTGTGGTGTGATAAGTGTGTGTTTGTGCACACACAATTTTCAAAACACTGTCTAGCATTTCAGAGAAGTTTGTTCTGGATCCTGGAAGGATGCAGTTAACCACTAAAACCATGCGTTTATTACACAGACTAACATAACAGATATTAAAGTCTTAAAACATGTCAGCTAATGCCATCTTCAGCTGCTCCAATGTGAATTGCTGATGTGGATCAAAGGGCATGGCGGCCAAGGGTGCAGTTATGTTTGCATTGTAAAATCCAAAATGCCTACAGGGATCTCCAAATGAGATTACTTCTGGCTAGTCACATGGCCTCTATTTGTTCTGGCTGACATTTTTTGCAGAGACACACCACATGATGATTGGATATTACCCTTCCTTTCTCACATCTGTGAGTTCAGTAGAGTGCCATCCCTTTGCAACTTAAAGGGAAGCTTTCATAGGCTAGTTTTAGCTACAGTGGTACTTCGAGTTAAGTACTTAATTCATTCCAGAGGTCCATTCTTAACCTGAAACTGTTCTTAACCTGAAGCACCACTTTAGCTAATGTGGTCTCCTGCTGCCGCTGTGCCGCCGCCGCACGATTTCTGTTCTCATCCTGAAGCAAAGTTCTTAACCCGAGGTAATATTTCTGGGTTAGCAGAGTCTGTAACCTGAAGCGTATGTAACCTGAGGTACCACTGTATTTAGTTTAAGTAATCCAAGATGTTTTAAGGCAACCTGGATTCTCCTAGTATTGCCCCCTTTTGTCCCCCTTTTGTCCCCCGTAAAACAACAATCACACACATGCTCATTGAAGAGTAATAGATACAGCTGCTTTGATAATTCAGTTATAAAGACATACTTAAGTCTAGTTTAAAAAAGGAGTCTTAGCATGGAGCTCAGACATGCAGATGTTGTCACATTGCTGGCTTGGTGGAGAAGAGCGGAAAGAGGGTGTGTCCAGGCAGGCAGGAGGATACATAGTAAGGTGCTAGATTGTGAAACTGTGACATTTTAGACTCAAAGGAGGGCAGTCAATCCAGTGAGAGGGTTGTGATGCATCTTGACATCCTGATATGCTAGTTTTCTATTTGTAGGAAGTTTGCTTTTATGTGCTGGAAAACTCAAAAATGCAAGGCGACATTAAATTCATCAAAACCCACCCCACCTGCTGTATCAATAAGTGCATCAATTTGTGGTGCACTTAATACAGTGAGCCGAGGCATGAGGGTACTAATAATGACAGAATAACAGCTTGGGATTGAAATGGCCACAACCTTTATTGATTATAGATGTAAGGAGGCTTTGACATAGGCATTGGGTAAGTATCAGCCAAGCCTGTTTGCTTCATTTTTAACATCTATCTTTTAAAGAAAATGCCCTTGCTTCTTCATGTGGTCCAGAGATGTTGTATTCAGCCGTATGAGGGGAGATGCTGGTCATTGGCCATGCTTGCTGGGGCAGATAGGAGCAATATCTGGAGGGCCGAAGGCTTCCCACACCTGTTCTAGATGCACTGTGGGGAAGAAAATATGATGCCCCCCCCACTCCCCACTCCCATAACTATCACTGAATAATGCTCTTCCTATTTTGCATCCTCTGCATGGGGCAGAAGAAGTAGGAAAGGTTCTCCTCGTCCAGTTGCAGAAATGTTACATCACTATCTCAGCTTTATTGCATATCCTGTTTTTTAATAGTGCTGTGTTCTTGGCTTGGCGTCCCTTTCAGCAAAGCAGAGAGTCATCCTGAAGACGCTCAGCTGGGGTCTGCCATTAAAACATTGTCAGGGCAAGAAAAAGAACCAGGCCTGTCATGTTCTAAAATGGCTTGTGAGTGCCAAGAAATCCCTTTCTCCATTAAATCTTGGCCACCTTGGTTCTCATTCTCCAAACCTCAATTTGTTTCCCATTAATACTGGGCACATATATTTTAATCTCCAGCCAACAGCAAAAGTTGAAAATGACTGCTTCATTGCATGCCAGAAGGTTCATTTGTTTACCCCCTCCCTAATATTGTTTTGTGGTTCTGCAATAAGAAGGGGGGGTTATATTGAGGGGGGAATTACCATTCTTCAGACTGCATGCTTATTTGACATAGAGCAATGGTAAACCAATCCACTGTTTCCCAGCAACGTATTATATTTATTTCAAAAGCTACTTCAGGAAAGTCATGTTCATTATGTTGGTAAATATCATGGAAGCTCCCACCAGTGTTGATTAGGACCACCCATGAATTCCTGGATGCAATCCCAGAACACATTGGACAGGGCTTTGGTTCTGCAAAAATTGACTGGATGGAAGTACAAGAATTGGGGAAATGATGGAGTTACGAATGTAACTAGAGTTTGGCCTCAAAGAAGGCAACATGGCTGCAGAGTATTATTTCCCCTAACATGGCACTGTGTGGCACAAAATACAGTGGTGCCCCGCAAGACGAATGCCTCGCAAGACGGAAAACTCGCTAGACGAAAGAGTTTTCCGTTTTGGAGGTGCCTCGCAAAACGAATCTGCTATGGGCTTGCTTGCAAGGCGAAAATGTCTTGCGAGTTCCTGGGTTTTTCTTCCTTTCCCCCTCTTTTTCTAAGTCGCTAAGCCGCTTATCTGCTGAGCAGATAAGCTGATAAGCTGCTAACAGCCGCTAAAAGCCGCTAATAGCGCTAATAGCGCTAATCCGCTAATCCCATCAATGGGCTTGCTTCGCAAGACGAAAAAACCGCTAGACGAAGAGACTCCCAGAACGGATTCTTTTCGTCTTGCGAGGCACCACTGTAAAGCAGTAGCTGGGCTAATCCAAGACAATTTACTGCTTGGGGCAAAGGGGAAGATGGTGCCTCCTCATTCCATTTACAAAAGTCGAACACCCTGACATTAGCGGCGATTCAATCACCATTCAATCCTGGAGATGCAACAGAGTCCTCCATTGCTCTCAAGGGCAGTAGACTTAACTTGGGCTGCATAGGGCAGGCCAAGAGGTACTCACGGCACTGTTTGCTCTCCACCCCTCATCCTTTGCTGTCTAAGGTGGCTACCTGACCCTGCCTAATGATAGGACCAGCCCTGAGTGGAAGAATGCTGCTATTGTGCCAGCTCCACTCCAAACTAGATCTTCCTGGTTTGAGAGGAAAGTTCTGAGATTCTAAGCATAATCACTTGGGAGTGCTTAGAATGCCCCTTCAGCCTTTCCTTCTCAACAGAGAAAGGTCTGAAGTGGAGCTGATGCATGCAGGACCACTGGGAGTAGGAAATGCAAGCAACTTGCCTCCCGTCTTTAAGCCTACATGCATTCACCTCTAAAAGCTTGAAATAAGGATGGGGAAGAAATTCTGTTCGCGTTGCATTTACTGTGGACCTAATTCGCACTTCCCAAAACAATATGCAGACCAAAATGCAGCTATCCTTCAAAATCTACATTTCCAAATGCTGTCATGCAGTACTCCAAGCAAACACATGTACAAAATACATATGATATGGTAAAGTGTGCATCAAAGCATGTATACTGTATTGCTGAAAATAACATACAAAAGGATTATGGGGAACTGCTTTGAGAAAATGTGTTTAGACAAAATTGCAAACAGAAATGTATCCATCCTAGGCCTACTCAAAGCAGACCCTTTGAAATTGATAGACATGGGTTATTTTGGTCTATTAATTTTGGTGGGGCTTACTCTGAGTAGAAGTTAGTTGACTATGCCCCTTTGTGTTCTAAAATGTTGGCGAGAACTACTACTATATGTGTGTGTGTGTGTGCGCGCGCGTGCGCGTGCGCAAACCAATGTAGGAATGTTTCAAACTGAACTTAAGAGTGGAAAAAAATGAGAAGCTGGGGGGGAACCAAAACTGACCAATTTGTGTCCATCTCTAGCCCAGAGAGGGCTTGTCTCCAGATTTGTGTTGTGTCTTATGTAGGTGCAGGAGTGTATGTGCTCACCAGGAAAGAAACACCACACCAAATGAGTCTTGAGGCAATCATAAACCATTCAATCAGTTTTTTTTACAGTTTTAATAATAGATATGCATATCAGGTGATGGGACATGGGTGGCACTGTGGTCTAAACCACAGAGCTTAGGGCTTGCCAATCAGAAGGTCAGCGGTTTGAATCCCCATGACAGAGTGAGCTCCCGTTGCTCTGTCCCAGCTCCTGCCAACCTAACAGTTCGAAAGCAGGTCAAATGCAAGTAGATAAACAGGTACCGCTCCAACAGGAAGGTAAATGGCGTTTCCATGTGCTGCTCTGGTTTGCCAGAAGCAGCTTTCTTAGTCATGCTGGCCACATGACCCGTAAGCTATCTGCGGACAAACGCTGGCTCCCTCGGCCAATAGAGTGAGATGAGCACACAACCCCAGAGTCGTCCGCAACTGGACCT